TTGCAGCGCCTACAACCACGACAATGACGATGGCAACAATGATGGCAACGCCTTCAATCCATTCGACTTTAGGCTCACCAGGCTCGTGCTGTACACCGAAGGTCTGGTATAATCCAAGAGCTAAGGAAATGACGGCAGCACAAGTCAACAGGATCAGAACCTTGTCGTTGTAGGCCATCCATGCTAGCTGGAAGATGTTCTTTGGTTTCCGCACGGGAAGTCGGTTGTCGCTGAATACACGCTTCCTGTCGGCAAAGGCATTTTCCTTAGCGCCAGCAGGCGCGCTGTCCGTGTGGGCAACCCCGTTTGGCGCGGACTTCTGAGGAGACTCTGATCTGCTAGGAGTTGTAGCCTCATCGAATGTAACGATGCCATCAAGATGCTGCTCATCCAGACTCAGACCGGCCTTTCGGTCGGTTCGAAGACCTTTTTCTATGCCGTCTAGGCCACCGAGGGCGTGGAATGCTGATAACTGCGTAGTCATGTTAGATGTTGCACGATTGCGCTCAAGGCGCGAAAACTTACACTCTTGGGGTTGTAGAGCTTTCCTAATTGTCCCGGAGAGAAGGCGAACTTGTTGTTCTCGACCTCAAAGTCAGCCTCTGTGCCCGGGTCGGGCTTCAAAGCATCTTTGTCGTTTAAGATTTCCGTTGGGCCTAGGTCACCCTTTAAAGTATCGCCTTGTGAGGATGCAACATAGGTTCCAGTGCTATTAGATTCGCCGTTCTCAGTGGCCGAGTCGACCGAGTTGCCCCGGGATCGCGCACCGGGTACGTTCAGCAGACCGGCGTTACTGTTCCATTGCGTCACGGGCGAGCTGATGTTATGCGGGCTCGTTGGCCGGCTCTCTCTGCTATCGAACGAGTGCGCGTTACGCAGCTCCTGTGACGGCTGCCTTGAGTGCGTGGGCGAGACATCATCGTTGTTCGAGGATGCTGCTGGCCTGCTATTATCTTGGATGTCTCCTAGGGGTACTGAATCGCCCATGGTAGGGTCGTTGGTAGCAGATGTGTCGATGGTGATGGTCGGTGCCCGTGGTCTTGAAGGACCGTTGTTGGTGTCGTTGTCCGCCATGGTGGGAGCCTAGGAGCCCTCGAGGCTGCGAAGCGAGGCTGAGGGTGGTAGGCTGTGCAGACAGACAGGCAGGCAGACGAGCGATGGGCGTAAGCGTAGCAATGTCAGGCGTGCACTTCCGGTGAGGTGATTAAGTTATCGACGAGTCCTCATGCACAAAGAAGATGCAGGTTATGAGTGTCGCGGCAGAGGCGAGAGGGCGGTGCTGCAGCCGTGTGCCGTCACCAAGGTTGCGCGTAGTCGAGAGTGGAGGCAGGTGCCGGTGGGCAAGTGCCTGCGAAAGTGTCTGGTACTGCCAAACTGTTTAGCTCCTTTCCCTTGCGTTTACACGTACAAGCAGATGCTCAGCCACGACTGCCCAAGCTGCGACCGCGTGTGATGGTGGCCGGCAGGAGCGATGGGCGTTAGCGAAGAAGCTTACCTGATGGTACTGCGTCTCCGGGGAGGGCGATTGCGCGAGAGAGGGACACGGAGAAGCTGAAGGGGGATTCCTATCACGTCGAAGGTGGCAGTGTTCCGGCGCTGCGCATGCTCATTCGCCGTCGGGGTGGCTATGGCAGTGGGCGTGTCTGGTGTACCTGGGTACTCGTCGAGACTATGCGGTGGCGAGACGACGCGTCGGACTGGACTTTTGGTGCAAGAGAATGGGAGCCGCTATCTCGAATCGCCAGGCAGAGGGCATAAAGACAAACAAGAGCCTCCTCCCGCCTGGCCTGCATCCTTGTTGTGCCTTCAATTGTCCAAGACTTGCACTGCCCCGATGCCAACCCTACGCACTAAGCCGCCTTGGGCTGCGCTATTTCGCAACCAGCGTGGATGCGGCACTTAAGCGGGACGGCCTCTAGCCTAACCCCTCGAACGAATGCAGCCTCCGTTTCACCCCAGGATTAACCGATTCACAACTGTCCAGGCCAAGTCGCCTCTGCATCTACGTGCGTCGCCACGGTTTGCTGGCTCTCGAACAACTTTTTGCCATGTGGTCCCTCACGCAGCAGCGAGCTGGACACGACGACTATCAACGTCGCACATGTCCCGAACGGGTTGCCTTCCGTATGGCCAGTAGATCAAGGCCAAGCAAGCCATGCCTACCGTACAGCGTCTGAGCGTCATATTTACAAGTGATTCGACTTGATGCAACTGCTGGCGAGCGATCGCGCATCCGCCTGTCTACTCCTATTCTCTTGGCCGTGCCATTGTCACTAATGGCGCAACAATATCACAGCTTCGTTTTTCGAGTGGCGGCCCTTCAACGCTTTAATCATAGTCCGTTGGGTTTGCCGCGCGCTCGGCCTCGACTATTGCTGCTGGCGGATGCTCCATCTCCACTCGTCCTCGGTTTTGTTGGCTCACAGTCGTGTCGTCTCTGCCCTCACCGCCCGCGTACCTGAAATCCATGATATGTATGGCTAAAGGGATGCGTCAATTTCAGACTAGCCAAGCTTCTGGAGCATCTTGGCTGTTCCGTGCCCATCTCCCGCCCCGACCTTGTTCAAGTTTGTTTGCGTCATTGGCGCTGTGATTGCTCTTATCGTCAACTTGGATCGCCAGGCGCATTGTCCGACACAGTCCCGCGTCTTCAACACTTTGTCACTAGGGACTCGGCCCATGTGCCCCATAGTGTTCGTTAAGTGGCAACTGCCCACAGTTGTTTTACTCCAGAGCCGGCAAGACTGGCGAGAGCTTGTGCCCAAACCAAGCTTCTGACTCGAAGCTACAGTAGTCAGAGGCTTGCTGCACACAAGATCTTGACATGCTTCAGGTGACCGCTTCTGCGACCTTGGCGGCTTACCCCAGGGCACACTGCACCTGCAGCTGTATGATGTCCTTGTACATATGAGATTTCGGCCCTGAACACGCTATCGACGCCTCATCTCCGCGAAAACATTGGCGAGCATCATCAAGGGCGCTCTTCGGTCCAACGAGAACGCCTCGACCTGCCCTTACCCACAGCTCCAGAAAAACCATCAACACATGGAATCCATAGTACAACAGATTACTGATGCTCCACTCGACCGCAAGGAGCTATTTCAAGATGCATTAAAAGGGTAACCTTCCTTGATCACCTGCAGTAGACGTTGAGCAAACAGTCGTCAGGCGTCTAGCAAGCGCCGCCTTTCTGGGAATGGACCAATCATGTAGCCCACAGCACCACCCGCTTTTTAAACTCCCTGTGTGCTTCATCGGGTTCACGATGCAAGTAGAGCTATATCTGCATGCGCGTACGATGTATGACTTGGGTATATCCCGTCGATCAACTCGCGGGTCATATGCGTCGATATACATGCACATGTAGCAAACAGACATCGCACATTTAGACGATTCAAAAGTGTACGTCAATACCTCTACGGCGTAGAACATCAACACCGACGCTGTCAGCTAATCACAGCAGAAGCATGTTACACTCAACTATTATGCTCATAAGGTCATGATGCAACTATCATCTTTCCTTATCTGCAACCAGCACAGCAGCGGTACTAGTATATTCGTCGTAAAGCTCTGTACTGACCAAAAAGAACTACATGTCGTAAGAATATTCTACCTTAACGACTCCCGAAATGTTAGGTAGATCTATAACATAGCAGCACACTCCGAGGGAAGTCGACGGTAACAACAATCTATCGTGCCACAACATTTATCCTCTCATCAAGATTCCGGAAGATGAAGTCCAAGTATACTACAGCTATAGTGCTAACTGGAGACCATAACATTCTAAGAAATCATCTCAGATTGATTTATCATAGAGCTCGAAGAGGGATTGTTGTATTCAAGTCGCAGAGTTAGAGTTCTTAACCCCAGGTTTAGTGAGCAAAATTCATCACGATTTCTGGCGAAGTGCCGTTGTCCTAAGGGACACGTAATTATGGCATTCATGCACAGTGCTTTCTCTTTCGCACACAAACACCCTTGAACCTCTATGGATCGGCCTGTATATGCTTTATGTGCAGAAGTCAAGACGACCGCAACATCATACGTGCACAAGAATATACTCCGTGACGGAATTTGAAAACGTCTGTTCCAGAAATCGACTACCATCCATGATATAGTCCGCATGCATTTATACCCAAAATCATGCAGTTGTTATCGCCATTGCTATACAAGCATTGCTAACCTCACACCCAAGTCGCGCACAGTGTATTCTCGGATCATACCTTTGTACATCCTTGTTGTACATTCTTATCTAGACATCGGAACGCTTTCGAAATTGACCAAAGACATAAAAAGTAGCTCCTAACCCAAGTACCTTGCAGATTTCCATGCATAAGCTAGGAGTAAGTGATACCGCCATCAACACGATTGCGATAATCGTCTTCTGACATGTAGTCTGCACAGCCTCACATCCAATACCGGCTCAAGACGGGTACATGCGGGTGGCCTCGAGCCGGTGTAATGCTGAAATGTTTTCGCGGTGGCGATCAAATTTTGAGTGCGACCATTTAGTTCCCAATTCTCAGATGTGGAGGCGATATGGGAGGCTGTGTCAGACGCGGGCGCAGTGCTAGCCGGTTTCGGGGCTGTGCCTAGGATCAATGGTTCGCGCAGGAACGGCGGGCTCTGGAACGTCTACCGCGGGACCATCAGTCTTGGATCTTTCTTGGGATTTCTTGTATGTCTTGTCCATGGTTTAGTGTCGTATGGAGATCTTTTGCAACGTGATATGCACGTGCTCAAAGCATTTTCGGGAAGCATGTAGCATTGCCTACTACAACAAGAATGAGTTGGCAAAGTATCGGATTGCTTGTCATTTGAAAATATAGAACTAAAAATGGTGGGTAAAACACCAACTGCGTAACTCGTGACCCATTTCTATATGATTGAACAGCGCCAGGACGCCAAACTCCTTCCTTAACCGTACTGCACCAAAGGTATCTCGCGACGTACAGAAACACTCCTCCAGAGAATCGAAAGCCGTCCTCATTACAAAGCTGTTATTCATCTAGTTTCGTCATGCCTCTCCCTCTCTTCGGACTGTTTGCGCGGCTCTTTATTCTCTCCCGGCTGTACGTCCGGCTCAACTCAAAGGCACTCGGGGGCCCGAGCCCCAGGCCCGTCCCTTCTCTGACCACGTCTCCAGCACTCGTGGCGCCAAAGTAGTTTGGTGCACCTGACGCAAGTTCATTCTTGATCTGCGGCGTCGCCCAACCACTTGTCTTTCCAACCTTGGAACCCTCAGAGGAGTCTGATAGCTCGTTGTCCGAGGAGTCAAGGTACGTCTCTTCGAGTTCAAATTCGTTCGCTGCCTCGCCATCTTCTAGGTCAACGCGTTCGTAAGGTTGTTGGGTATTGGAGGAGGAGGAACCACCCAGGCCAAAGAGCTTTGCTGGAAAACTGCGCCCTCGGCGGCGGTGGAGAGGATCTTTGCCCTGTTTCCTCTTGAAGAGCTTGATGATGGACTGCTTGGCCGCATTCCTTTTTTCCTTTCCAAGAATGAGGCAAAAGATGAAGATGACGATGAATATCATGATGAAGAAACCAGGTATTCGCTGCGGGTTCTCGACGAAAAGCCGATGCCAGTCACTGTCGGATTCGTACAGTCTTGGTATGCCTCCGGGGTATTGGAAATCTGCTGGTATACCGGGTACGTTCGAGCCAAAGCCTACTGCGAGGGCTTCTTCGGAGGGTGGTGGAATCTCGCTGGAAGCGTACAAGACCATCTTTCCCAGTGTCCAGCTCAGCTCCACCTTGTTGATCTTGTTGACTGCTTGGAATGGGTCGAGAAATCCCTTGGCCTTTGCATTGTCAATGACGTCCTTGGTGGTGTTCGTGCTGCCGTTCAAGTCTTCGATGCCAACTCGGGGGACGCCGATTCCATCGTGCAGCATGTTGATGACCCAGGACGCCTTGAAACACACCTCTCGTGCCTTGTCCTCATCTACTTTGTGACCCCATTTCTTCTTCTTGATGCCCTTTTCTATGCTCTTCCAGTCTTGACTGCAGAACTCATCCACTCGCTCCTGATAGGTCTTGAGGTCATATGCCTTGTGCTTGTGTCCGTGTTCGAAGATCTCGTGCGTGGTATGCCAGTACTCGGATACGCCTACGAAGTGGTTTACGTTGAAATCGATAGCGGGCACATGCTGTCCGTTGATCAGGCATGGCGAATCTGTACACTCCTTCTCTTTCTCCAAAAGCGGAAACGTCTGATGCAAACACTCTGAAAACTGTCCTGTTCCTACCAACTTCGCTGCGGCCTTCGGTTTTGGCTGGTCGTCATCATCGTCGTCGTCGTCCGAGTCGATCATGTTGCCATCTTCTGTGACCTCCACCTTGAGATCTGCTGGTAGGCAAGGATCTGGAAGCTCCCTCTCCGTGCTGGACTCCAACAACGCCTTGATGTAGCGCTCTCTTGCTTGGTTGATGCCGAATCCCAGCCATGTCGTCACAAACACCTTGTGTTCGAGCGGTGTGCCGTCGATCGCACGCAGGCGCATGAGCGTCAGGTCGTTCGCATGCTTCTCCGCTTCGGTCGCATTTGGTGCGAAGGCGATCTGAGCCGACGCGCCTCCCATATCCAGGAATCCATAGGTGTTGTGGCCCTTGCCATGGTCGTGGTCTTTGGGACGATCGAATCCGCCAAGCAGGTAGTTCGCTGCGATCCAGCCATAGAGGCCTTCTGTCTCTCCCGGTATGACCTGAACATGTACGTCGCAATCCGGTAGTTGGAACTGGGTGGTGCTTCGCGCGAACTCGCAGACTTCCTTCAGTACCTCCTTCCGTTGGCGCTCGGGGAGTATGCGCATGCCCGCTGTTGCGAGCAGAAAGAGAGGTGTATTCGGGACTTCTTCGAGGGGTACGTATTTGAGCGCATGGCTGAGGAGCTTGTCGAGGTGTTCGGAGCCGACATCGTGGGGGTGTTCGCCGAAGGTGGAGATGCCTGTTCCGTCGCGTGTTAGTTCTGCCTGGTCGGTATTGTCCACACTAGCCTCGTACCTGGATGTATCTTCTTAGTCCAATCCTCCTTTGTTTCTATGACCGGCAGGCTGTGTAGTTGCGCATCGCCAGCCTTCTTGCGGGCGGCGTCGTGGTTCAGCCATCGGTAGATGTGGACGCGCGTCCCCTAAACATGGTCAGCTACAACCTTGCGATAGCTACACAGCAACGACTTGGGAACGTACAGAGGACCCAGCATCTAGGACAACACCGTATCTCCCTATGTGCCAAGCAGTGTCAGCGTCCGAGCTGTGGTGTGGGCATGGGGCTGCGCGGAGGGGATGGCGTACACTTTCCCATTGGGAGTAACCGGGTCCGAAGCGCGTTATCGAGTAGGGCGCATGCAAATGGCGACGGTGGATATTACAAGAGGTACGGAGGAAGACGGGTAGCGGCGCGGCCGAGGCGAATAGGATATACGAGGGAAACGAGCGACGTAGGGAGCGGCGACGAGTTGTGGTGATGGCGGAGAACGAAAGGTTGAGACTTGGACCCTGGCTGTCGGCGCCGCTTCCAGAAGGCGCATGGATCAGCGCCCGCTGCGACGTTTCACGCGGCGGGACGAATGTGCCACCAGTTACGGGCCATTATGACGCCATCTTCATACTTCACGCGACCGTTGTTCACTTCGGAGCAGCATTCGTCTGCATTTGATACAGTGGCCGTTGCCGCAAGCACCACGAGCAGATGGAGGCTGAATCAATCTGGCGCGGTGATCTAGTGGGCTGCGCCTCGGTGTCACTACAAGTTGACACCTAAACGTTGCGTCGCGCAATTTGCATGTACGGGCCGGCAATAACTGCGATCAGCACTGTCATGCGCGCGGAGTAACTATGACGTAGAAACATCCCTCATGCTGGGTCTGTACGCAAAACATGTCGGACCATAGCTGGGTGTCGGAGATAGAGTATGCTCGTGACCAGAAGGCAGGAGCCATCGCGGTAGTGTAGCTCGATGTGGAAGGCTCATACCGGCGCCGAGAACATAAGGTCGAGCAAAGCAAAAAGATCAAGTGAACATTACGCATGTATACAGCCTGTGCAGTGATAGAAAGGCACAGGGGAGCAAGGCGGAGCTGGCACGGTCGCGGAGGGGCGGCTCTGTGCGGTTTGGCCAAAAAGTGGCCCGGGAAGGAACGTCGGGCAAAAAAGAAGGTGCCACATCGCTCCTTCCCTCCCAAAAAATTGACCTCGAGGTGATTTGAACACCTAACCTTCAGGAATCTCCAGAGGAACTGGAATCTGACGCGCTACCATTGCGCCACGAAGCCGGTCTTGTTGTTGATGGAGGAAATGTCAGATTTGAAATTTATATTCACACACAAGCACGTCCAAAAGGAAACAGCGACTGCGGGGTCATCATCAAGCAACCCCACCAGACAGTGCAAGTCGATATTGAAATAGTGGGTCAACGGCCAGCCCTTGCAAATTGGAAATGTACCTGCCTACAGCTGCAATTCATATCCACTCAATCAATAGTGCCACCCGCTGCACCTTCAGTCCTCCATCAAAAACCTCAGGAACGCCTTGGCAATCACTACCCCGTCATGGTGCTTACCAACTCTCTCCAGCGCATCCTTTGCCTGCTCGTCCTCAAAGATACCCTGTTCAGCTCTCATCTTGACCAAATACGACACAATGGGCTCCGTGAATTCCGGATGCCCTTGCACGGAGATGAGCTTGCCCTTCTTGTACATGCCTTGTACCAGACAACGTGGTGATCCACCGAGCTTCTCCACACCCTCTGGATACTCGAAGACTACATCCTTGTGCATTTGGTGAATTGCCTGTGAGTGTAAGTAGAGACATTAGGATGATTGTGACTTGCGACATACCAAGGTGTCTTGTTGAAATATTTCCTTCCCCTTCGCGGTAAGTTGCACTGGCATCACCGATATCTCCCACCCATCGTCGCTGCGTCCAACTTTCGCTCCTGCCGCCCTTCCCAGGATCTGATGGCCGAAGCAAACACCGATCACGCGGATTCGGTCTTGCTCTAGTAATTTCTTGGTAAAGTCGACAAGCTTCAAGATCCATGGATCATCATCGAATGAGTTGTGCTCTGTTTTTAATGAGTCAGAATCGCGATATTGTTGATAGGAGCCATAACCCACTCGATCCCGAAATCAACACTGCGTCTATGTTCTGCAAGTCCGGATACTCCTGTGCTGTGACCACATCAAATGCGCTCAACTCCAAGTCTTGCTTTGGCGATAAGCCTAGGTCCTGTGCTGCCCTCTCCAACAGTGTGGTGAAGATGCGATCGTATCGGCCATACTCATCGACGATAGCTGCTGGTGGAGTATCGCACTCTAGAATCGCTATCCGCAATGGCGTCTTCATTTTTCCAGAAGTCAATGTTGCGAGTTGTGCAAGGTGACGCCGTCTTTGATAGCGGAAAAGGGACGGCGAGTTCGGAAACACTAGCGCAATCCGGCTGGTACCCACCTGCATCTAAAGCTTATCAGCCTCCAGGGGTCTAGCTACCTGGAAACTTCATCTTCGCGTCACTCAGTTTTGCGCCGACTCGTCCGCGCTGGAACATAAAGAAACTATTGCGCATAGTTCTTCGGCACCTCGATCGTGCTACCATGCCGTCATCTGCGTCCGAGCGAACACCGCTACTTCGCTCTACATCGGCAAACACCCCCGTCACCGAAGATGCAATAACCGCCGCAGAAGTAGCGCAACAAGGCCAGGGCGCGGCGCCTCAGTTTCCAACATCGCAGAAAGCGAGAAGCGGCTCACTTACCGAATCTGTCGACCCTGGCGATGTGCCCCCAATCACGGATGAGACAGAGAGCCTGACCAAGTTTCAAAAGAATGGGAAATTAGAAGGTATTGGAAAGTGGAAGTTTAGGTTCGTGTTTGGTGGTATTCTACTTGGCTACTTCGTGAGTCTACCTGCATATGTCAAAGACATGGCTGCGCATACTAATGATGTAACGATAGATTGCCATGTTTGACTCCACTCTCATGGCATCAAGTCATCCAGTCATCACATCGTACTTCCATGCATCAAATTCAGCCTCATGGCTTTCAACAGCCTTTTTACTCACATCAACCTCGCTGCAGCCACTTATGGGCCGACTCTCAGATACTCTGGGTCGTCGACCATTGTATCTGGCTGGTCTCGTCGTCCTCGCAGCTACGACCGCATGGTGCTCTTTTGCGCAGACGATTGGTAGCTTCATCGCCGCCCGAGCCTTTTGCGGCATTGGCGCAGCTGGCGTTCTATCGATGGGTAACATCATGACCAATGACCTAGTCAGCATTGAAGTACGGGGTACCTACCAGGCATACATCAACCTCTTCTACGGAGGCGGATCTGCTTGCGGGGCAGCTTTTGGCGGCTTTCTATGCGACAAGTTAGGATGGCGGATGACTTTTGCCATACAGATACCCATACTTGTCATGCTGTTCATAAACGCCATATTCACCACGCCCTCTTCACTCGGCCCAAACTTAGCCAAACGCTATGGTCTAGGTTTGCAGGAAGGGCTGAAGGGATTCGACATCGCCGGATCCTTCTTGCTGACGGTATCTGTCGCGTTTCTGATTTTAGGGCTCAATCTTGGAGGCAATGTATACCCATGGAAGCACTGGATCGTCATCACATCGCTGGTCATCGCGCTCGTGACAGGCGCCGTTCTCGTCAAAGTTGAGTCTAGAGCTGCGCGAGCGGTCATGCCTCTGCCCATGTTGTTTAGCAAGCCTCGAGGCAATCTTGTCTTCAACAATTTCTTTGCACAGGTTGGCATGAACACCATCCTATTCAACGCGCCCTTGTACTTCCAAGCGGTTGAGCTCGAGACAGCGTCTGTCTCCGGGTTCCGCCTTGCTGGCCCTTCCGTTGCCTTGACCATTTGCGGCGTGTCTGCAGGCTTCATCATGACCGCCACTGGTCGGATGAAGTGGCTCATTGTTGTTGGCTCACTTTCGATGCTGTTGGGCGCTACATGTCTTTCCTTGATGTGGGATGGCATTCCCAAGTGGCTTGCCACCGTATTCCTGGTTCCATCTAGCATCGGTCAAGGGCTCAGTTTCCCGGCAACAAGTCTGGCGGTACTTGCAACAAGTACACAAGAAGATCAAGCAGTCATGACCAGCACACTCATTTTGTGGCGCAGTCTCGGTATTGTCATGGGTGTCTCGTTGAGCAGCCTCATTCTACAGAATGCTTTGACCTCGTACCTCGAAGCACTGGTCACCGGTCACAATAAGGCGAAGGTATGTCCCATTCTGATTTCAGCTAGCGGTGTTACGATGTCTTCGACGCAGTTGCGGATAACTAGGGAAAGCTCATCACCCGCACTGCGCGACTCCAGCATGTCTTTCACTTGTGCCTTGCTCCGAACGTCGTCGTCTGGGTAGTGGATCTATGCAGACTGCCTTCATGCTGTCATTGCTCTCATCGATCAGCGCTAATACCCTCCCGCAGATCATTCAACACGTTCGCAAATCGGTACGCAGCATAATCGACCTTGATGCTGAGCACAAAAGTCAAGGTCAGTTTTACTTACTGCGGGGCGCGCGTTTCCCCTGCATTCAAGCTCGATACCAAGTCGCTGCTCTCTTATAGCATTGATACTGATCTCTTCCCTAGTCATTGAAGCATACAGCCGTAGTCTGCGACTGGTCTTCATCTCGGCAATCGCCATGTTCATCATCGTGAACATACTAGTGTTCGCGATCGAACTTCCGCAGCTCAAGAAATCCAAAGTGCACGACGAAGAAGAAGAAGAGTCAACGTAGTACAGCATCACTTAAACCGACTGCGAGATGGACAGACATCGTTGCGAGCTCGAACGAGTTAATTGATGATAGCGTAGCTCGTGAAGAATTACAAAGACCATCGTGCGAACCAATCCAACATGTATGGCGTCGCGTCCCATGATGTGGGCCCGTTCCTTAGTGTTTCGAAAGGCTCGCCTTGATTCTTGCGACTCGGCCAGCCGTGACCAAACCCCTGGATCGCTCTGTGAACAACGACATCATCAACATCGTTACACCGCCATCGACTCTCCGCAACGCTTCCGTTTTCCAGTTGCTTCGTTGAGGGGTTGCTCGCGCAATTGTCACGCTTCGCCCAGCTCTCAACCCAACTCAGTACTGGGATGAAAGGTGGTGGGGTCGGGCTGCTGCCGTCGTAGGGGACCACGCTATCGTTCAGCCCGTGCAAGTTCATGTAAGGGAGTACCCTATCCTGTAAGTTCGGAATGCATTCTTTCTCAAAGAGAGGTTCTGTCAAGCTGGAATCAGGATAGAACGCGCCCGCCACGGTTGCGAATGCAGCGAACTTCTTGTTGAGTTCCGCATCGCACATGAGAAGCCCAGTCAGTCCGCCACCGTTAGAAAGGCCTGCGGCGTAAACGCGGCTCTCATCGATGCATAAGGTCGCTGTCAGGTGTGCAAGAAGTTCGGTGACAAAGATTCGATCATCGATCACAGAGGAAGTTGGGGCCAACGGGTCGCCTAACCATTGCACCTACACGTTAAAGTTAGCCTTCGTGCCTTGTAAGATCCCTCAATCCTCGCTCTGATCGTGACTTACGCCAGGTGCTTGGACATTCATGCCCTCCGGATACACCACGATGGTGTTTGGGTTGAAGTCAGGATTGGACAGCTCGCTGATGACCTCCATGCTTCTTGCGGGCTGTTGTTGGCCATGGAACGCAATCACAAGAGGCAACGCTTCATCATTCGAGGCCTTGTACTTGGATGGCAGGTGTAAGATGTATTGGCGCTCGGTCGTCTTGCCGATCACCGATTTCGAAGACAAAGTGACATTGGTAGTAGATTTGCCCGGTGTGAGCCCCGAGGGCAAGCGAGTTCCACAGCCAGAGCTCGCTGCGAGTACGACGGGGCAAAGGAGTGAAATGAGAGATAGAGACAGCATTGTCGCAATTCCGAGAACCAAAAACCAAGACGCGTACTGCCAGGAACGGGGTCAACAGGTCAGGTATATATAGCTCTTGCGGCTTTGTGTACATGGGAAATTACGGACGAACAGAAGCGCCGCTCGTGCTGACGCGAAACCCCGTAGTCGGTCCTTTGAATACTAATCTTTCACCGCTATTAAGACGACGTGCGATAGCCTTCTAAAGATCGCTGTTGTAGTAAGCAGAACTTAATACATGTATACCTTAAGTCTATTATAAGAATACAATCTCGTACAGTAGTCTATATATACTAATTACTCTACTTACAAAGCCTTAGAGATTAAATATAACCTAGAGAGTAGAAAATCTAATTAGCTAATTAAAGCTTTTATTCTATTAGCTATAAGGTAATTACTATAAGTATAGAAGTTAGCGTTTTAGCGCTATAGTAGTAAGCTAATTTAATATATTATATTAACTTACTATACTAAGCTTAGTAAGAAATATTAAAACTTTAGATAATTATAATACGCGTATAGTGTAAAGTATAATATAATATATTATATTAATACTAGATAAAAGTAAGAAAACTTTAGATAAAAGTAAAATAATTATAAATAGTATAAGGTATAAGTATAAGTAAGCTAAAAGAGTAAGCTAGCGTAGGCTCTAAGGCCTATATAGTCTTATACTATTATAGATTAAACTTATAATCTTTACTTACTAAGGCACTAGTAGAAAGCTTATATACTAAATATTAAAGTTTAGCTTATATAGCTTTTTTTAACTTATATATAATATCTTACTTAGTACTTAACTTAATATAATTATCTTATCTATTAATATTTCTTATACTATATTATATTTATTTTATAGTATCTAGAATATATATAGTAAGTAACTATACTAAAGAACTTAGTGCGTATATATAAATATTATATAACTTTATAAAGTTACTAATTATAACTCTATAGCTAAGACGCTAATAATTATTATACTTTTTTAATATATTTTTTACTTTTAGTTATACTTCTAAATTAGCTACTAATATTATACTACTATAAAGCTTTATTATATAACTATAAAGTAGAACTTATTATATAGATAGTGTATACTAGTGTACTAACTATAAATAGTGTATTATACTAAAAGCTTATTATTAAAAAATATTACTAAGTATATTATAACTCTAAGAGAGTATTATACTACTATATAGAAATATTTATAGTTAATAATATTACTATTTATAGTATTACTATACTATTTTTTAGTAAATAGTAAAAGATTTAGCTTACTACTTTATAATAAGTAAGTAGAACTATAAATAGTAAATAAATTACTTTACTTCTATCTATTTAACGTACTACTTTCTTACTTTTATACTCTTTCTTTACTATCTACTTTAACTAATATTATTATACTTAACTATTAACTATTATAATAGTTAATAGTAATAATCTT